CCGCCGGAGCAGGAGAACATGATAGGGAGCTGAATCGGCGCAGCTCCGGGCACGTGGGGAGGGCTACACTCGACCGCACCTGATGTGCGTCGAGCACAAAGGTGAGATCGGCTACCTTGGAAGTTGCTCGCTGCCAACCGCGCGCGAGGTCTGCTGGCCCAGGGATTTGTGGCGGGGCTCCCCGACAACAGCCCAACCTCGACAGCCCTCACGAAGGTCGACGGCGGCAGTTTTTTCCGCACCGTCTTGCACCTTTGTTCGCAGTGGGGGTGAGCAGGCTAGGCCGTGTAGGTGCTGGGCGACGCACAGACTTGGCTGATATATCGCTCCACCGCACCCGGCGCTGCGCAAGCCAAATCGCCGTGCGCGCGGTCGTCCTCGAGGACGTGCTGCGCTGCCTCGTTGGCCGCAGCCTCGCCCAGCACTACGCTGCCCAGCTGGCATGCTTTATCAATACACAAGGATTCAGGATTCGGGTAGGCACGGAAGCCATGCTGACCGCCATGCTGCACGGCACTAAACGGTACACACGCACCGCGAGGTTCGAGGGCACTCAGGGCATTATTGGGCAAGAGTCGTTACTTTCGTGTGCCTCCTTGCTTAGGAGCGTGCTGCTGGTGCTGTTGTCGCTGCCCACACTGCCCAGGCAGCGGCCTCGTCTCTGTTGCACCACATGAATTCCCTCCGGTCGGAGCTCGGAGCTGCTGGTCTACCCCCAACCGTGCTCCAGATCCTGGTCCGTAGGCCGGCAGTGTGCTCTCGCCGCATCCTTTTTCGGCCTTCTTCCAACTTCGAACCAGGTGGTGCAGCTTTGGACGAATTCTTGGCTGATGCATGTTGAATGTCGGGCCCCTGAGCCATCTAAGCGTTTAAATCCAGTTGCCGGATTCGGGGTGACGTTTTTTTCTTGATTTGGGGGGTACGAGTTTTGGGCGTGTTTGTTCTCGTCGAGTTGCCCTGCTTACTGGTGGTGAACTCATGGGGCCGGATTTCGACGTGTTCATCATCAGCGTTTTCACGCCTTCCCGTGCTATTTCTCAGAGGCTCTGTGTCTTTTCGTTCGTCGTTTGTTGGGTGGCGGACCTGAGGGTTTTTTGTATTTTTTTGGCTGGCGTGGTGGTGGCGTGGCGGTTGGGTTGGAGGTGCCTTTTGTGGTGGCGTGGTGGCGGTTTTGTACAGCCGGCTTGATGCCGTTTGCTTGCTCAATTTGTAGACGTAGAGTTCCTGAGTGCCCATACGGGTGGCTGTACAACCTTCCCCGTGTGGAGTGTACAGCGCAATCTCGGCCCGTGTACAGTGCGTACAGACACGTTGGTTTGCAGGTTATTGCAGCATATGTCGATTGTAAGCTGAAGCTTTAATTAATTACGTTCGACGTGCACCATCGTATCTGAAACCAACTTGTCGCGGTTCATTGCTGCCTCTGGCAAAGTTGACATAGCGGCCACTCTGTCATGGTTGATTCATTTGTGTGGGAAGATGCCACCCAGATAGTTTGACAAGCAATTGCATATGGTGAGGGCCAAGCGTGCACTTAGAATTCACAGACAAGGACAGCATGCGAAGTAGGCTATGTACCAGGGTCGGGGGCAGCCGCGCTACAGAAGCATCAGCTGGCTGTTGCAAGTGCGCATCGCCCGACCCTCGGACTGCAGGCGCTCCCGTCTTCTGCAGTTGCCACGACGAGGCCGAGTGGGAAACTCTCCCAGAGCGCTCGGGCGGAGTGCCGCAAGAGGCCAATCTTGTACGGGCTTACGGCTCGACTGGGTGGATGTGCTCCCCGTCGTCAGGTCCTGCTGCCCAGACGCCGCAGACCGTTGCTTGGCGGCTTGCGAAGGAAGTGGCGGGGTGGGGGGGCAAGTGGCACAGGCTCGCCACCCCACCTCCACTATCGCGAACGCGTGTTCTTGCGCGTGCTTTTGCCAGCCTTGCCAGGCAATTCGTCCCCCGAATTGGCCGTCGCGCGCGACGGCAGCCGGTAAGCCTGCCCCGGCAGTCGGACACAACCGCAACAAAAACTACGTTCAAGGCTGGAGTTTTTTCCGAAGTGGACATGGAACTGCCTGCAAATCTGGGAGCGCGCGGCCTCGGAAACACGTGATGTAAGCAAAGAAGCATGCCGGCATTCGGAGCGAAGTGACTGCGAGGTGAAACTGTCGGAGATGGGCCCCGGTTGGGTTGCCTACCCGACTCTTGGCCACGTCCACTCATACGATCCAACGTGGTCGATCTACCACAGACTCTTCTTGGAAGCCTGCAAATTCTGCGCCGCGTCAACCGGCCCGACCGCGCTGCTTCGGCAAATTCCTTCTTGGGTGTGTGGTAGCGCCGGCCACGGGCTTCCAAAGGCCGTGCTGGTCACGGCCTGCTGCAGGAGGTTCAGTTGCCTCTTGCCATGTCGGCGAGCAGCGTGAGACGTAGAGCGCGAGGATGTGGCGTCGGCGTCTGCAACAGTCGACGACAAGACCAGCTCAGCCGGTGTGCCACGCCCACGACAACGCCGCCACGCTCTTTGGCAGTATTTGCTGCAGTTGAGTGACGTGTACCCAGTGTACACTTGCTACGTGTTGGGACCACCGAATGATGTGGTGAGAGGTCCTCACGAAGCTCTGGAAAGCGCTCCACAGGCCCCGGCCCGCTTCGGGGCCTAAATGTTGATGCCGCCCGGCAGGAGCATGCTGACTGTTCGGGAGTTGTCACCGTTAATTCTTGCAGAGCCAGGCAGCCATCGCTGCTGCCCCTTTAACGCGCATGAGTGCTCCGTCCGTGGTTTACAACCTGGACGATTTTTGTGCAGTCTCAACGCGAAACACAACACGGACACAGCATGCGAGCAGGTGCTGAAGCAGTCGGTTGCTTTTTCGGGTCGCCATCAGGCTCCCTTCGACCAGGTGACATTGCAAGCGCCCGAAGCCTATCCGATGACAGTGCCACCACGACGGCTGGGACCACCACTACTACAGGACCAGATCTACTGCTGTAACTGTTACACGCAAAGATGTCTTTTGTTCCGAACACTTTTCACCAGCAGTCACAGCACGATCCGTATGCCACGACGAGGCCTACACTTGCAGGCTGGGATCCTGCATCCAGCGCGTGCGAGAAGCTAGCGCAAAGCAGCAGATCGCCAACTTGGAGGGAAAAGGCGCGAGAAAAACAACAAAGTGAACAGTCATTTGCATGCGATGCTCTTCGCCGTTGTGTCGATCATCACATTAGCCGCAAACAACTATTCTTTGAGTCGCCGTCCTGGTCGGAAGCCATGTTGTTCTTCAGGCTGCGCATTCTCCAGTGGCACTTCGTTGCGGGCTAAGATCATGCGACCGAAGACTTTGTAAAACAGATGTATGTACGCGATAACACAAAATCATAAACTAGTCTAGCGGATGCCATTTTCGCAATTATGCCAAACAAAGTTCGGCGCGTTCGGCACCATCTAGATTGATAATCTCCTGTGCATAACACTCGGTTGTTGAACGCAAAAAGATGCTCCACTAATTTCGACGGCGGAAACTTCAATACTTCAGCAAGCCAATCTCATCCCAGGCTTTGTTGCCCTTGAGCTGTTGAATGGCGTCCTTCAGCTTGTTGGGGGACCACGGTGCCTCAGAAAGCCTGGCAGGAGTCGGACTGCCGGAAAACAAATTTTTCCAGGTGAGTGTGCAAAATGCTGCAGTGGTGCTAGGAAGGCCGGCGACCGCCCCTGGCAGCACGACGCACCGGCTATCACGTCAGAAGCCACGCACAAGGCGGCTCCAAGGGAGGCAACAGCAGTTTTTGCGACAGTGGGTGTTGCGACAGAAGAGGCTGGAGCTCTTGCAGCCTGAGTGGGAGACGACTCACTCCGAAGATTTGCGAGGTCCAGCGCCTGCCATCGTTTTTTCAACCTCCTGCGGCTGTGGCTCGAATGGCAGGCGGCACGCGTTGGGCTCCGACAGAGAAGATGCTACTGTCTGTGCAGGGTGCCAAGCTTGGGGCCAACGTCCTTGCATGCCGACGTGGGCAGGGCAAAAGGGCTCACAGGCGGCCTCGCTGCCCTGGTCAGGGCAGCTCGTGGTTGCGGCCATGAGCGTTTACGCAGCGTCGTTGCGCGAGCCGCTGCTCGATGAAGGCGGTGCTTTGGAAATGAGCGTTGTGGTGTGTTGACACTCCCGAATCTGGCTTCGGCATAAATAGCCTGCGAGGGAAGCTCATGGGTCTGCGTTCGACGGCTTACAGCACCTCCGAAATGATCCCATCATGCTGCCCGGACTGGAGCAGTTGCAGAAGCAGCAGGGCATGACAAGCAAGTCTGGCAAGCCATCAAATTCTTTGCGGAGCGGTATGCCTTCTCGGCGCAACTGCGAGGAAAGCGTCTTCCCACATAGTCGTGCCGTTCCGGATGCAAGCACGCTTCCCCTGCTAAGTCCGTACAGGCATGGGTCGCTCGCTGTTCTGCCCCTGCACGGACCGTGTCCACATCGAATCTGAGGATTATCGAACTCGCTTTTCGCTGTCAAGCTCGAGGTATGCCAACATGACCTCGAACGTTTAGTTGCCGTCGCTGCAATGCCGCGTCTTCGAGCAAAAAGCCGAAGCTACGACCAAGCCGAAGACTTTACAGACCGCAAGTTGCCCTTTTCTTCCTCCGAAAGGCATATCAGCGCTGGAAGTCGACTAGAGTATGGCATCTTGATGGGGCAGGCTTCAGGGCTTATGCCAGTCACAAGCATCCGCATGTGCTACGAAGGATGCTAGCCATGCGAGATCAATGGGGTTTTCTTTGACCTACAGCCGTGTCTTGACTCTACGTCTACGTGTCGGTTGCCTACACTACGATTTCACTGGAAGCAACGCCGGGCGCTGGACGACCTCGTGCTGGGTGGATCTCTTCGGATGGAATACACGCTCTCGGAGGAGCCTTCGGCGTTCAGTTCCAGTTGTCTTGTCCCAAGAAATTAATTATGAGGATCCATCCAGTCACCTCAAGTCTGAGCGAAAACCTCCTCTCAGCGATGCTCTCAGTTCACCGGCACCGCGTTGGTGTTGATGTGAGCTGCACCGAAGGGGTCGGATTTGGTAAAGACCTCGTCTGTCTGGTTGGGAGTGAACGTCGTGTGCCTCCCTCGCCCCCTGCAGTGTTTCAATGGTGGGCCAAGCTGTTCATGTTCAGGTGGGAGAACCTGGGAAAGCTTCCAGGATTGACCTGCAAGCTTCTGCGCCCTGCCGAAGACCTCACGGTCCTGACAAATCCCGTATCACATTTTTGCACCTTCAAGAGACCGGACCACAGAATCACCGAACTCCCAAGCCGCACTAAACCCCAAACCCCCGTGCCAGGCAAGCGGCGGCTCGCAGCTGCATGGAGTTGCTGTCAGACCACCACGGGTTCCTGGGCATCAAAACACAAGAACTGCAAGAAGTCTGAAACCTGAGTAAGACCAGCCCAAGGTGCTGTTCCACGTTGATGGTCCACATGCCGTTGTCCCCACCTTGCTGGGCCATGCGCACCATCCGAAGCTTCTCCCGCACCGCCGGCGCCTGAAGGAGAGCACTGAGAAGCTGTCCCGGCATAACGCATCTGCAGGTGCTGGACTCTGCTAGAACGTGCGAATCCTCTTGCCTGCCGCGCCGTGTTGATCAAGGCCTCGACACATTGCGCATCGCGACGGCTTCGAGAACACGGCTTCGCTTATGGACGCTCAGCACAGGAACAGACTAGTCCAAGGGGCAGCTTCTAAGTCCCGGAGGCCCTGGGAGTCCACGGGAAGTCCCAGGCGCCTCGAAGGGAAGCTTTCAGGTTTCAGGCTTTTGGGCTTTGTTCAACTTGTAAGTACAAAAAGCCCTGCGACTCTGAGAACTTGGAGCTTGTGCCCTGCAAAGGCAGGAGACCCGTGCATCCTCTCAACATTTAGTAACTGCACAGGCCACAGCGAACTGCTTGAAGGACCATGGGACTTGTCAAGTTCTGTTTGAGGTTGCACATGCTTTTTTTTCCGCTGGGAAGATCAGGCTGATGCCTCAAAGCCCGAGAAAATGCCCACAAAGGAAGGGAATCTCCATCGGACTTTAACAGCTCTTCTGAGCGTCCTGAGGATGGGCTTCTGCACCTCCAGCGCTTTCGGCCTTCGCAGAAGACGGAAGAACCCTCTGCAAAGCTTGTTGAAAGGGACCGTGCAGAATTCATGAAGTCTCTGGTCTGTCACACCACTACAGTAGCTGCAGCTTCCGGGGTTGGTGAGCCTGAGGCTCATCAGGAAGGACCTCTGCTCGAATGCCGACTGTCGGGCGATCTCCGCGGCGGCCTTCACGAAGCCTAGGAGGCGAAATGTCAACTCAGGCCAGACAATAGGCAGTGTCTTGCAAAACACCTAAAAATCGCCCTGAGCCGCCCGACCTCCTCGATCTTGAAACCCTAAATTCTGCCAGCCCGCGACAGCAATTGAGTGTAGCTTGGCAACAGCTTCGAGAGCTAACGGACTGCGCAACCCGAGCTCATGTTTGCATACTGTATTATGTGACATGTAATTGTGGTACATTTTGTGGTGTTGTATTCCTTCGTCACTTAAGACCATTATGCACCAGGTGCGCCACGTTGCGTTGGGTGAGGCCTCATATATCTTATTCAAGTGCTTGGTCCGAGACATCTCAGTAGACGCTAGTATAGAAGCTACACGGACCCTGAACTTGTAAGCAACTTAAGGCTACGTGAAAAAAGAAGATCGATGCCCAGAAGCTCGGTGATTCGTAGGCTTTCTGCAGGTCCGAAAGGATGTCCATGGCCTCTGCAGGCCGACCCTTCACTTTACGCGTGCTTCGTGTACTCCTCCATTGCTTTTTGCTCATGGTGAGGGGAGTGAATTGTTGCCTTTCGTTTTTCTTGCTGCTACCAGTAATTTCTGTTTCTTGATGTGCTTCCTTGCTCCTCTCCCTCAGCTGCAACTGTTCCGACCGCGTAGCTGCCGCTGTCAGTCCACTTGCTGTGAACGTGGCTGTCATTTGTTGCTCTTGCTGCCGGCGACTACGACTGCCTTTGCTCCACAGTGCCACCCTTGTGTCAATACGGATTGTACTGGTACAGTAGTCTAGGCATTTGGATTCATATTCTTAAAACCTTGTTCTTTTTTCTTATTGTTGCATCCGCAGAAATCGAAATGGATCCGCCGTCGTTGCTGTCCTCTTTAGTATGTCGATTTCTGAACCGGGCTGGCCCGTAATTAAGGATCCCAAGGCGCCGCTTGGTACTTTCGTGCGAGAGACACAACTGCTATCCGTTTTGCAGGTCCTCCGAAGACTTGTCAGGAATTTCTGGGTCTGCTAGATTTCGCAAAATGTCGCCTGGTGTTTCTGTGGAGGGTATCTAAGCGGGCACAACTCCACAAAGCTCTCCTGCGTGCTATAAACATGTATGCGTACTGTCAACTGCACTCGGCGCATGTGTCGAAGAGCTTCAAAGCCTGGCTGCAACTCTTCCCTATGACCCTGAAGACTGGACGAGCGGAGCTTTCGAAAACCCTGCGAGGCCCTGCCTGGATCTCGGTGTAAAGCGGCCGGGAACGTGCCAGTCTCTGCTGCTTCAGCGGGTCCTTCTTGTTGCAATGAAACTCAGAGGTCTTCTGGGCTTCACGGCTCCGATCTCGAAAGGGTTTCGGCCCTGTAGGCTCCCACCCTAAAGTAAGGCTTCCTCGCCTGAGCCCAACAGCAACACTTCGACAGAGTCATCACTATGTCATCACAGGCGCTGCCATAGTGCAGACCCTCAGCGTGACGAATTTTTAGGGACTCTGTTTATAGCTGGCGGGGTGTCCTTGCCCAGAGCGTCACAAAGGGCTCTCCACATGGTGCTTGCCATGCGCCGGCGAAGATAATCGCCTTTCCTAGGCGGTGCTGTGCTGAGCAGCTTGGCCGCAGGTTCTACTACATGATTTCCGCGGCTGCGCTTTATTTTTGCTTGCCCGGTACTTCTCTAAGACTTGGCCAGAAGCATGACTGCCCGGAATCTGTCTTCTGAATCGAACAGGCTGTTTCCTGACCTGGCCCAGGATGGGAGCAGAAGCTTCCCGCGGAATTGCGATCGTCGGGATCGGAGGGCGGCCGATAGCTACGGAGTTTAGGGCTCATGGCTTGGATCGTTCGAGGCTCTTCGCGTTGATTCTGCCCATCAGCTCGTTGATGGTCTCGCGCACAGTAGGACGGTCGTAGATCCTCAGCCATGCAGCGTCAAGCCCCAAACAGAGGATGTTGCTTGCGTGCTCAAGGCGTACCCCCAATCTCCTCTGCGGCTTTGCGAGGGCGCGCTTGGTGCAAGCACAATGGCTCCGCAGCCCTGAACTAAAGTATTGAGGTGAAGCGGAAGTGGCCCGTGGGCCCAAGTCCAAGTGCTACTTCGTCAGACTTCGACGGGTGGCAGGCTCAGGGAGAGCTGCGTCTCCGGGAGCTCGGCCTGCAGGTGACGCACCAGGTCCACCTGCTGCGCAGAATTTCTGCGACCACTTCCATGCGCTTACCATATCTGAAAGGGCTATAGAGCGGCTAGAAACCATCATGCTGCAAGGCCCGTCTGCTCAAGGTCAGGGCTCAGCTACGAAACTTGGGGCTCTTCTTCATTCGTCTTTTATGTACAACAGACCACAAACAAGCTGCAAAGCAGCTCTTGGAGGATTGGACTCCAAGTCTGCGACAGGCCTGCTTGAGTCTTGAGTCCCTCTTTGCCGAGGCGCTGCCAGGACGGAATCTACGCCGATCTCGATGAAGACCAGGTCTTCAAAGAGGCTCCTTGGCAAAGCAAACCAAGTTGCGTGCATGAGCCCATGTCCTGCATTGGGTTCTGCATCTTTAATCCAAGCCACAGGAGGCTGGGATCCAGCTCCTTGGGCTTCGAAATCCTCGGCTGCTCCAAGGCCTGTACTGTAGGGAGACGCTTCGAATCCACAGCACCCTGATCATCGCTCACACTTAAACCTGGAACCGCAGCCGGGTCCTAAGCCGGCTGTGCATTGCAAGCTTGAGCCCTCCACCTAAGGGGCTTCCCAGTTCCGCTGCCCTCACCTGTCCCCATCTCTCTCAAAACACAGCTCGGCGATGTCTCTCTCAAAACCCACCTGCGTCGGACACTCCAAAACTCCAAACACTGAAACCGCCTGGACCTCCAATCCTTGAAGTGTTAAGCCCCGAAACCCCGAAGCACAGGGCAGCCAAGTGGCTTTTTGTCCGGCAGCGCCGGGGTTCTTGTTCTTGTGGTAGTCTTCTTTGCCGCTGTTTTCGCCTTAGCTCTAAGCTGGTGGGGGTGCAGCAGTGGGAATCTTTAATCGAACTCCTCGGATCAAGAATCAGGGTATGCATATTCCGTTTGAAGAATCCCAGGCGGTCGAAGGACAGTATTGCTTGGAGCTTTCCGTCTGCAGACGTAGGTTTGACAAGCTTCGACACCCAGAGCACCAAGAGACAAAAACACCACAATGTGCATTCACCCATCTGTCAGGAGCAATCCTGAGGCCTGACCTGCCCTGAGCCAGACACGACACTGCCCCCAAGCCGAAACCGGATCCTAAAACAGCCAAGTTGCTGGTGGCGGCGTAAGTCCGGCTCGTGCCAGCGCCTCCAATGACTCGGAGGAAAAACGATGGGGGCTCCGAGAGCCCATTGCGGCTCAATGCTTGATTGGGTTCCGCGGCTCAAGATCAGGCCCTAGACAAAAATCTTGCAGCCGAAACTCCCCACTGCATTCCAGGACCCCGAACCTTTCAGCCTCCCAACAAGAGCAGTGTCGCACGAACACCAACTACTGAGCTCTCGGGACTAGCATGTAAGGCAGAACACTACAGTCACTACAGAACATGCGGCGCAGCAGGTAATGCCAGCCACCCTAAACATCAAGTCATGAAAGCAGTCGCACATTTTTCTTGCTGTGTGGCAGCATAGCAGTTCTATATCCTTGCTCCACGCATGCCAAATAGGATCCCTTGCGTTTCGCCCTTGCGCGATCCTTGGGCGTGCTTAGGTTTTTTCAAGACTAGGGTTTGTTACTGTGGCTTGTTGACCTTTGGCGGCTTCGAGTCTAAGCCTCGGCTGCGGGCAAAACACTTGGGCTTCAAGCCTCACCTACCTACAACGCTGCTCAGTATCATTCTTGCATCAACCTTAACAACAAGCCTTGAGCATAGCTTGCGTTCGCCTTTGCGCGCCCTTGCGGTGTGCACTTTATAAGCGACCGAGTTTTCGCTAATCGCCCGCCTAGTATTGTCAGAAGAATCCACCAAAAAGAACAACACACAATGCCCAGACAAAGTAGCAGGAACACTGGCAACAACAAATACAAGACCAGCATGTCTTGTAGTCTGCGATGTGCAGTTTTGCATGGGCGCACTTGTTTGAGTCCCTCATGATGTGCCGTAGGGTGGCAGAGGGTGGGGCGCAGCAAACAAGCACAGACACAAACCACAGCGTGTAGACGCTCGAGCCGTGGCAAACAATCACAAAGACAGCTAGTGGACAGGTTGCCAGTATCATGGCAGGTAACCCCCTATGAAGCCAAACATTCCCGCCCCCCCTTCGATGCACCGTGGGCGCACTACACGAAGTCGGCCTGATTGGCCTCGCCTTCGCGCTGCCTCGGCTTCAGGTCCGTGTGCTCCAAACCGAACGAAGCCGTAAGGAAAGTACGGACCACCACCACAAAGCTCTGCGGACATCGACACCGCCGTCATCATCACAATCATAATTGCATTCGCAATAACGACAATCATCATCATCATCATCATCAGCATCGCTACTCTGCTTAGGTTGTTCATCTCCACGCAGGCGGCCCGAGCGACAGGGCTTGCAGGGCGCAGTACTTCCGATACCAGGCCTGCCCAAGGCAAAGGCGCTTGCGGGTCTAGGGTGTGGGCATTTGGCTTTGAGGCATCTTGGCTTTGCTTCTATTGCAAGGCAAGACCTCTTGCCTTGAGCGTTCAGACGCCCCCGGCCTTCTCATCTCCCTGGTTGATGCCCAGCGCTGCGTTGGCGGTGCTCAGCGCCCCGCGCGGCAGCCCCAGCTTTAGTGCCTCGTGGAGAATCTTTGGCAGCTCTGTTGTTTTGGATCAGAGGGTCCCGTCGCTTGAGTCATTGTGATGGATCAGAGGGCGTTCGAAGCTGTGGGCCACTCGTGCACTTGCATTCGCAACGGCAGCCAAGGTTTTGGACTGGGGGAAACCAGAAAAATACCAAGCTACCCGAGAGAACGAGAAAGCACATTGACTGTGCCGAGCCAACCATCGCCGTCGTCACCACAAGCATCCCCGATCATCAGAAGCAGCACTGGTGCTAGCAGCAGAGACATCCGAATCACGCCACCCTGGCTGATCTGTCGGGAAACGGCCGCCGACCGGTTCTTGAGAAGCTCCGACCGGAGCTTCGCCACCGGGCCGCCCCCAGGTGCGGTCGCCAAGAGCTTCTGGCCCTGCCAGAAGTGCCACAAAGCCTCCCAAGGATGGTCACGAGTTAACGAGTTAACACCTTTTTAAGCAACTCTCGGACTCCGACGGAACCTTGTCGAAGCGCTCCTCATTGAAGGCGACGACTCCGAGGTGACGTTCCTCTTTACCGTCCTGTCTGAGGCGAGCCAGATGATTCTTCCGGAAGCGGGCCGATGCCCGCCCTTTGCACCTAGCGGCCTGCGAATCTGTAACGCTACTGAGCCTAGTGAACTGATACGATGATGATGGCGATGGTGGCGATGATGATGATGATGATGACGACGACGACGACGAGTGTTGCGGGTGATGAGGATGATGTGACGAGTGTTGAGGGTGATGAAGATGACGATGTTGATAACTAATCATGGGACTGATGCTGATGTTGATGATGAGTGGTGAAGAGGACGAAGATGACGATGTTGCTGTTGATGATGGTGATGCTGAAGATATTGGTGGTGACGACGAAGATCATAAGGGTGATGTTATGATGATGATGATGATGATGCACTCCGCTCTGGACTCTTCCGGGTAGTACGCCGGGGTAAAGCTTGAAGAGGGAGCCGGGAAGTGAGTCACCCTCCAGATGAGCCGCCTTATGTCGACAAGGAGCGCTCGCAGGACTCAGGCCTGATGCCCGACCAATCCCTCACCGTGAAGGACTTTGCTCGACTCCGTTGTTGTTGTTGTTGTTGTTGTTGTTGTCCCGCCCCCGAGTCGAAACCTCTTGCTAATAGCATTCTTTGACCGCACCAGACTAAGAGACGCAAGTGCGATAACAGCAAGTTGCAGCTGAATAGCAAGCACAGGGACAAGGATGCAAGTGCTGTATCAATGATTCTGCCAGAAAGATGCTAACGGAGGTCCTGGATCAACTTCGTTACTTCGTCACTCGGCAACGTTCCCTGCTCCTGAGCTTGGGCTGAGCTGTGTACGGGTTTGAGGGAAGCCTGGCAGCAGTCTTAGGGGTCTTTGCGCAAGCTGGGTGCGCAGTTCAAAAACTTCCGGACGGTCGGATTCAAGCTGAAGGTGTGCAAGGCGATGCGGATTTCTGTGGGGCTCAGGTTTTGGTTGCATGTCTTCACAGTTTGGACTGGGTGTTGGCTCTCATGTTCTGTAGGCTAGAGAACACCGAGAGCCCGACTTCGTCAATCGTGATTCATGGGCCCCTTCCGAAACGACGGAATCTGAAACCTTTTGGTGCCGAGGTGCAGGAAGAGGGTCCAAGAGCTTCCACATCCACTCCTCTGAAGTGGAGGCGCCTTTGAGGAGAGATTGAAGCATTTGAAAGGCTTTGGCCTTGGCGTTGGAGTGTCAACCTCCTGCGGACGTCTGGCCCTTATTCGTCAGGTTTCGGGGCTTCTTTCTGGAGGATGCTTGGGAGGAGTCTCATCGTCATGTTGGGCTAAGGCCGTCTGCGATGCACCACAAAGGCTCAGTAGAACTGACCCGTAGTCCTGTGGCCTGGTTTACTGCAGGCCTCGAAGCTTCCTCCCGCTATAAAAAAGAAGCTGATATCCACTTTGTCAGAAAGCTTCACGAAGCCCTAAGGCTCCTGAGACCTTTTCCAAGAGAAGCAATTCTGTCGGAAGGGTCCCAGGCACTATCCAAGTCCCCGCTGTCGCAGAGGACGCGCAGGGTCTCCACATCGGCGCGGAGGTCCTGGTCTCGTGCTTGTCGAGCAAGGATTGATGCACTTTACCAGCTGTCTGAGAAGCCCTAAGCAAGGGGGGGAGGTGTTATCAACGAGGGCTCTCCAAAGTTGTCCTGAAGCTATTAAGGACCACATCTTTTTCAAACATGATAAGACTCCAAGTATCAACGGGAACTTGAACTCCATAAGCTTAAAAATACGAGATCCCTCAATAACTCAAGCCCAACTATCTGTCATAGCCAATCGCAACAACCAATTTGCAATGAAACCTTACATATCAGGCTTTTCTGCTTTTCTACACCCACCTCATCTCTTTAGCACCCGCGACCCGAAACCCGGTCTGGCCAACTCTCACGATATAGAAGACAAAACCGCTTGGGCCTGGACATGTTACGGAAAAAACTAAACTCGTCAAAAGTACTGCGGCGAGTAAATGATTAAATGCATAAAGAACCCAATCCCAATTTCAATACTCAAACAAAACATTAAAACACTCCAAACGATTACACATGTCGAGCATGAGACCTTATTCTTGATTCTTGTGCGTGGGCGGCGTGCAGGCCCAGAACCACATCAACAAGTCGGCCAGAAAGCCAGCCCTGCAACACAAGGTTGGCCGCCTTCCAGTTGTAAAGCCCTCCGCCAACACAACATCACAAAGACATAATATGCATATTATTAACGGAGGCACCAACCAAATGAGGGTTGCAGATTTTGCAGTAAGAAGTGTCAGGCCAAGTGTCTGGGTCTCTCAGCATCACTGCCACGGGAGTGCCCTTCTCGGTTGCCTCCGTTCCGGCGTCGTAGATGTGCCACTGGACGAAGCAGTATTTCCTCCAGCACTCGGAGCTACCAGAGAGTCGCTCGAAGCAGAACACCTAGCTAGTGTTTGAAACCGAAAAGCTCCGTCGGCACTCCTAGCTGCCACAAAAAGTGGTACCGGTGCACTCGACTTTCGCGCATGGCATCAGCTACGGGTATGGGAATGCTTAACGGGAATATGTTCTTCGCGCACAGAACAAATCACTTGTCGGACGCTCCCATGAGTGTGGCAAAGGAGAGAAGATGCACCCCTTTTACACATGCAAGAAGAAGAAGGCTTGCTGTAGGCCTCCTGACTTAACGACGACGACCCCTTGGGACTCGTTAGCCTGGCTTTTGGTTGCAGTCGGGCTTCCACATCGGTGCCAACTTGGTGCGCATGTCGTCCGAGGCATCTTCCACAAAGTCCAAAGCCTGGCAAAGGAGCCATGCGCGCTGGCAACAGGTAGAACCACTACTGCGACTCCTTTTCAATTTCACAGGTTTGGCATTGATAACGATGATGATGTTGATGCTGATGCTGATGCTGATGCTGATGCTGATGCCGATGCCGATGCCGATGCCGATGCCGATGATGATGATGATGATGATGACGATGATGATGATGATGACGATGATGATGATGATGATGATGAATGGAGGCCGCCAAAGTGGGCACGAACACCGAGGAGAACACCAGTCACCGGTTACATGATCACGCTGCTGTTGACGATGGCGATGATGATGTTGCTGCTGAGGAAACTGCCTCGGTACCGTTGTTTTGCATTGACATATATATATATAGATTCACACTTTAGCGTGGATTCTAGCAGCGCTCCGTGCCGGCTCATTTAAGCGGCTGCGAAGGATGGATGCAAAGATACACGACAACTGAGGTGACTCCTCGTGTCGCTGCCCCCGACCTGGCCTGGCGCTGCTTCTCCACGGGCAGCTCGTGGGCCTCTTGATTCCTTGGACCAAAGGAGCTTCATCTCTCTGCGTCTCTTCAACGCTAGGGCCGCAGGTAACCGGGCGAACCGCAGAACGGCATCTTGCTCTACCTTCTTTCTCACGTGGCAGCCTCTGATTCGAAAGCTTGGGAACCCAACAGCCCCAGCCGTCCAACCTCGTCTCCCTGCTGATCACACCTCTGCCTATTCGGTTTCCTGTGACGAATCACTACTTGGAGTTTGCATGAAGACTGCCTGCTCTGCTTTTGAATCTGCAGGATGCCTACTGCAGCCCCAGTTGGGATGCCTATCTTTATATCGGGGGAGGAGAGCAGCAGCGTGGTTACAAGAGATGCAAAGACAATGACCAAGGAATCACGAAGTATCCCCTCCCTTGTCAGGGCTCACCCACACAGAACCCAAACCAGGATTCCACACGAGTCGGCGGTATTTGCAAATTGATGAATCAATGAGTTTTTTTGCTGACAAAACCGAAGCGTCAGGATCATGGGATCGCTATCCCATCTGTTCTTGCCAGACTTGTCCATGCATAGCTTCAGAGCGCGATCCCATCGCAAGAATCTCATGCCGGGCGATACCAGACGGGACGAGGGTGCACCAGGCGGTGCAGCGACTTGCTATTCCTATTCCTAGTGAGGGACTGGCTCGGGTGAGTGCATGTGAGGGAGTGAGTTTATCGATCTGCATCTTGATTTGGCACTGCTGCTCAATACACTGTCCTTCGTATCTGAAGAAACCAAGTGTCTCCGTGCAGGTATGTGAAGACAGCGGCGAGGAAAGCACTGTGCAGTTATGATGACATGTCTTTGCCCAGTAAAAACTCAGCACAGCAATCGTCGACAGCAGCGCAGCTTCCAAAAAGGGAGACTTGAATGCCTGATAGATCAACCCCTGCTCTGGCCCTGCATCCCACTTCCTGTTGCAGACTTCTCCGAGAGGCCTCTGGCTCTGTCACGAGACTGGGCTTGAACTCGTGAGCCGAGCTGCCCTCGTTCCTTAACATCACCATGGGCAACTTCGTGGCCTTTTCTCATGCAGAACGCAGCAAATTCCGTGCAGGGCTAGCTACTTCTGCTGTCCTGTGTGATTATGGGCGAAAATTTCTGTCCTTATTAACTTATGTCGAGGCTCAATACTGCTTTCAGCCAGTAGGATGAACAGTTTGCAATAGGTCAACATGACCTTGTGCTTCGACCTGAGTTTTGCTTTGAAGTGAGTTTTGATTTGAAGGAATGGAATCTCATGCATGTGCCCATGGCATTATTCGTTGTTTTTCTAGTCTTTAAGTATGCGCTGGTTGGACTCATCGTGGACCAGGCAGAGGTGAGACATAATGCGGTTCTCAATGGATGTTCTCGAGTTCCGCTTTCCGCTCTCCTTGCGCCAAAGCCATCTCAGAAAGCAAAGGCTGAGACTTCGGGGCTTGGGAGCATTGCGGATCTTCCGGGACGGCAAAAACTGAAATAACCCGAAACCACTCTTGTTAAACCGAAAGCTTGCACCAACCAAGACCTGAAGCGCCTGACATAAACACTCACTTCAGGGAGATGAGAGAAGAAATCCGACGGATCTCCGTACTTGTGGTGAAAGCGCTCGGCCAAGAAGTGGAACCTAAGCCGCGTCGGGTTTCGGTGCTAGGCTAAGCACATCATCCACAGCATGGTACCAGCATCATCATTCGTCATGCCGTCCGACTGTTAAAGCTTCATTCCTCCATAAAGTGTGCACCGGATCTGTAATTCGAAGCGGCCTTGCAAAGGAGGACGTAGGCTAGGTGAACGAGGAGGAGGGTCACTACGGATGACTGGAACAGCTCTGAAGCAAACAAGCAATTAACCAGACGCTTGACAATTTAGACAGGCAGACAAGAGGATTCCTAAAACTCAGGCATGACAGCACTTCTCTAAGCTCCAGGCGGAGCATCGACGATCCCTTTCCCAGAGCACGTCTCGAAGAACCTTGGGCCAAAGCGGTAGATCAGGCTCAGCCCAACGGGAATGCCCAGTGCTTCATTCGATGGTCCAGGGCTGCTTGCTATCCTGACAGGCTGTTCCCGCCTCATTTACAAACGAATCACCGGTCATGCAAAGGCCGGAACTCCAAGCCTCTCTCGCCGCTGAACTGGTGTCCCTGCAAGGAGAAGCAAGATGCAACGACTCACTTTTGGAGCCGGGGCGTTTGTTGAAACCTTACAAACTTGAAGCGCAACCTTGGTTTGCGTAGTACAGGGACACCGGGTCCGTGTCACAAAGCGACCGATCCGGCCTGCTCCGACGACACGCAGCCCGGTCGATCAAGCAGGTCCATCTTGGTGGCGATAACCACCTGCAGCAAAGCCCCAGGGCCAAGCCCCAGCACCCAAAGTCCAAGCTCCAAATGTTTGGAGGCTGGAAACCTGAGAACGCTCAAATTGGAGCGCCCTCACCACAATGCCAGGCCCGAAGCTTGAAGACCCAGGCAGTCATACGGGGCTCCCGCTCCCGAGATGGCCGTATCGGCCCGGGCGTGCTTCAGCTGGGCGTACCTCCAAAAACGACATCATCTCTCGAGCCCCCCCTCCCCGGCACCACAGATCACCACGAAATCTCAACTCGCGACTCTGAAGCCGAAGCCTAGCAAAGAGGCAGGCCGGAGGCCCCCTCAAGGTCTGGAAATTCGACCTTCGACCCTAGGCTGGGACATGAACCTGGCAAACTGCACGTAGACTGATCAAACCTCTATCACATGTGTATTGGGGTCAACCGGAATCAAGTCCATGGGCCAAGTGACCAGTCTTCGAGGTGGCCAAAGCTTTCAGGGTTCGAAACATCGTAGACCTGTGCGTTAAGGGGGTGAAGGAAGTCAGGCTTTGTTTCGATGGTGAATTGGCAGTGTGTGCGATCTAGAAAGGCAAGGTAGGCGATCACGTTCATCTTGACTTATGCCTCTCTCTGATGCAGAGTGTCAACTTTGTTCGTTCGTTGTCTTGCAGCTTTCGTCTGTTCTACTGATTCTACTGGTCCAGCTCGCGCCTCTGATTTCTGGTGCACACTACGAGATTGGGGGCTCTTTAAACGATCTGCGGATCAGGGCTGAAGACTGTCTTGGAAACAAGTGCTGCGTGGCGTCGAGACTTACTCTTGAGGGTTCCTGGTTGGAAGGTTAAGGGGCGCTAGTCAGTCAGGGTTTCCCACTCCCGACTCCTCTTCTGTTCCAATAAAAGCAGGACACACAAGATGAAACACAAGAGGATCGAACAAATGGCCCAATGTAATGAGATACTCGCGACAGAGTCCCGGACTCATGGTGCAGGGCCTTGATGGTTGCGTGGGGGTTCCGGCCGTCATATCTTGCACGATGTCGGGCATTGCTTGGCGATTTCTGCCCCCCACGACGTCTAGAACACCGCTTAAACCCCAAGCCCTTCATTTGTGGCCCGGGCCAGCATCACGGCGTTCGCGTTCTCCCAGTGAGGCCTCAGCACGTCCTGGCCAAGATGCAAGGCCGGGGTCTGTACAGGGATAAACATCTGCTTGTAAAAAACTATGTAGAGATGTCTGTGTGCATGTATTTGCCACTATATATATATATACACACATGTGTGTGTATGTGTGTATACATGTAGACACATTCCTTATTTATCTATCTATTTAGGGTCCAGGTTGGTACACATGCTATTTGACTGTCCTTCTATGCATGCTACAACTTGTCATAACTTGTCATGCTATACTGCATGCTCCAACTTTATACCGTATAATTATACTAGATTAGAGTAACAACTATACTCTGTTGCAATGTTGCACCATAGCATATTTCAGCACATCTCAAACATGCTATCCAGCCTAGTGGGCTTAGTACATGGAATAGGGCTCTGGGGTATATTGTAGTATGAGTCACACATGGAGCCCTGGAGAATAGCATTGCTTATTATTCAGGCTTCGATAGGATCTCATAAAGTCAGAACCCAAGCAGCCGTGTGGCCGCGACTGGTGCGTTCAAGCCCAGTCTTCCATTCAAGGGGTCACAGAATAGAAGCGCCCTCATCATTAGGGTAGGGTTTTGGCGTAGGTGTTACCGTACTACTAATCGGAATAGTATGAGTAACTATGCCGAACCCTTGAATCAGATCCTGCAGCCTGGGAACTCGATACTTCACTGAGCCCCGTGGACAGAGACCGTCGGATTAAGGCTCTGTGTTCGGCTTAGGGTGTAACGTGTAGGAGCTGAATCTCCGCAGGTCTTCCAGCTCTCGGGCCGGTTCTGAGGTCCTGGGGCCCGAACCTGGCAAACAGCGAAGCCGCCGCAGTCCACAATGTACCTGCCAGGAACCCCCATAGTGTAATTTGTCCCCTGTCCTAGGTCCAAAACGAAAAGTCGTATGCTCGCGAGGATGCAGATTCCGGGACCGATTCTAGAATAATGCGAGGGACGTACTGCAATGCTTGTACATAAGCCGGCAGTGTACAGGGTCGACGTGCCCGACATCTTCAAGTGCTGCTGAGTGGTCACGGGCTCTGGAGCCATGTTTGCGGCAACATGTAGTTGCAACAGTTAGTTGATTTTATTACTCTTCTTACTGTCACTACCATTCTTGATGTTTTGAGTGTCATAGCAATACTTGAGCAGCGTACGACTGTACACTACCCCCTGCTTTTGCTCTTGCTCTACTGCGCTGCTGCTGGCTGGTGTCCTGCTCCTGTTCCTAGTCACCTAGTCCTACTCCTCCCCTCCTTTTCCTGGCCTTCCTGCTCTTTGTCCTTGTCCTCTCTCTGCTGCCCTGAAAAGTACAGAAATGACTCATAACTCACACGAACACGCTTACTCTGCACAAACACTCTCTCCAACATCGACCCAAGCTCAGACTCCGGACCACTTCCTCAAAGATGCAGCCCAAGTCACAGTTCCACGACGACGTTGGTGTCTGGTATACTCACCTGGCATTGAGGAGTCCGTGTTTTTCTTTTTTTGGGGATGACCAAAGAGATCGCTGGAGATCGCTGATGCCGATTCCCGGAGGAGTAGCTGCAGCTTTAAATCTGGCGTTTTCTTAAGGATCAGATAACTGCTAGAAGATGCTGATGGTGTGCAACACGATGTCTCCTTCCAAGCCCTGGCTTTTGAGCAGCTTACGGGAAATGGAGAGCCGCCTTGCATGCCTCACAACTGAGACTAGGCCCTGCAAAACCCACAAACTGTTCCAACCCCGCGAAGCGCCCCCGGCCGGTCACCCTTTTGACGAGGAAGTCGATACCGATCGTCATGTTGTAGTTCTTCGGAAAGCTTTGCGCGCCACCCTGGCATCGACATGATTCCAAGTTCCTGGGTCTCCCTGCGCTAGGATGCATGCGAGGCGGTGTTCTGAACTATGTAGTGTGTGGGTTCATACTGTAACTGACACACTTGATCGAAACGGCGACTAAGGACAACAACCATTCGACTGCGTGGTTGTCCGAACGCCTTGATCGAGGCGGAAAGATTATTGGAGTGCACAGAGCTGCCCTGTTGAAGGGCTCAGAAGGCGTGCTTTGCCGGGCACAACACCCCAAGACTCAAGACCAGAAGGTTTTGGTTTGAGCCGCTTTCGAAG